AGAGGATCTACTGTATTCTCTAAGATTGACTTACGGTCAGGATACCATCAAATCCCTGTAAAGAAAGAGGACATCCCAAAGACTGCGTTCCGTACTCGTTATGGTCATTATGAGTTTACGGTAATGCCCTTTGGTTTGACCAATGCTCCAGCAGTATTCATGGATCTCATGAATAGTGTATTCCGACCTTATCTTGATCAATTCGTGGTTGTATTCATCGATGATATTCTTGTCTATTCGAAGAATCGAGAAGACCATGCGAAACATTTGGAGATAGTACTCAGCATACTACAGGAACATAAATTATATGCCAAACTGTCAAAGTGTGAATTTTGGCTTAATGAAGTTACGTTTTTGGGACATGTGATTTCTCAAGAAGGTGTTAAGGTAGACCCCAGTAAACTATCTGCCATCACCGAGTGGAAGGTTCCAAGGAATGTTCGTGAAGTGAGAAGCTTTCTCGGATTAGCTGGATACTATCGACGATTCGTTGAAGGCTTTTCCTCGATCGCAACTCCACTTAACAAACTTCTGATAAAAGATGTGAAATTTGTATGGACCGATGCATGTCAGCAAAGCTTTGAGAAACTAAAGAAATGTCTGATAGAAGCACCTGTGCTGACCCAACCACTACCAGGTGTAGACTACACAATCTTTAGTGACGCATCTCATAATGGCTTGGGATGTGTACTCATGCAAGACGGAAAAGTCGTGGCATACGCATCAAGACAGTTGAAACCTCACGAATGTAACTATCCTACTCACGATCTTGAGTTAGCAGCAGTTGTATTTGCTTTGAAAATATGGCGTCATTATCTCTTTGGAGAAACGACATATATTCACACAGACCACAAAAGTCTAAAATACCTTCTAACTCAAAAAGAATTGAACCTGAGACAGAGAAGATGGTTGGAATTGATCAAAGACTATGACTGCTACATTGACTATCACCCTGGCAAGGCTAACGTAGTTGCTGACGCATTGAGCCGAAAGATGATAGCCGAACTCCGAGTTCAACCTACTCTTGAGAACGAAATTCATGCTGCACAAAAACGTGATGACTACTGTTTGACTTGTTGACACGTCAGACATCGTGTTGTAAATTCAGAAATTTCCCGCTTCATTGTGGGCCACCAATATGACTTCTTCAGATCTTGGAACATTTTATTACTACCAGGATGCATAGTATAAGTGGTTTTGTGAGATTCACGCATTAAACGTTCCCTCACTTCGCCACTAGGAACTACCAAGCGATTCCGGTAGAATAAAATTCCATTATTTACTGTGAAATCTTGGACTTCCATTATCAGCTAAGAAAAATGACGCTGTCTGGGTAATTGTTGATCGATTAACAAAGTCATCTCATTTTATTCCTATTCGACGCGATATGTCCTTGAAGAAGTTGGCAGAGTTGTACATCCGTGAGATTGTAAGATTACATGGTGTACCTTTGTCTATCATTTCTGATCGTGACCCGCGATTCACATCGCAATTCTGGAAGAGTTTGCAAAAAGCCTTAGGTACTAAACTTAACTTTAGTACGACATTTCATCCTCAAACTGACGGACAATCTAAATGGACAATTCAAATTCTTGAAGATATGATGAGAGCATGTGTAATTAATTTTGGAAGCAACTGGGAACAATACTTACCGCTAATGGAGTTCGCGTATAACAACAGTTATCAAGCGAGTATCCAAATGGCCCCGTACGAAGCCTTGTATGGGAGACGCTGTAGAACCCCAGTATGCTGGACAGAATTAAGCGAGCAAAAGCTTGAAGGACCTGATCTCGTTCACGAAACTGAAGAGAAGGTTCGTCTAATCAAAGAAAGATTGCAGGTGGCTTCCGATCGACAGAAATCTTATGCCGACTTAAAACGTCGGGAGATCGAGTATAATGTTGATGACAAGGTGTTTCTGAAAGTTTCACCATGGAAGAAAGTGCTACGTTTTGGTAGGAAGGGAAAACTAAGTCCGAGATATATTGGACCCTATCGAATCACTGAACGTGTGGGTCCAGTAGCATATCGGTTAGAACTTCCACCAGAATTGAACAAGATCCATGACGTATTCCATGTATCGATGTTGAAAAGATACCGTTCCGATCCATCGCATATCTTGACTGAGGGAATTGTAACTCTTGACGAACAATTGACTTATGAAGAGGAACCTGTACAAATCTTAGCACGAGAGGTCAAACAATTGAGAAACAAATCTGTACCCTTAGTCAAAGTGCTAGGGAGGAATCACTCG